GTGAGTAAATACGAATTCCTATTCACTGTCCAAAACATAAGACTACAAAACAAGAAACAACATGAGCACATGCATCACGTTTTCTTCTTTCCTAAGTCCCTGTGCTATTGCCCGATTAATATGAACCAATAATTATGCCTCGGTACTTCTACAATACATGAAAAAAAAAATACTGTGGACCGAGTCACAAGGCAAAAATGGCATGCATTTCATGAAGACAGCAAAGAAAAAGACACGGGTGCTATTTTCATGTCCTTGTTAAGTGCATGCTGTGTTTTTCCCTTGAAATGATGATGACCTACTAATTAGCTGATTATGCTTTATATGTGTACAGCATACCATGCTATCCAGAACAGTAAAAACCCCCCTGCTGGTGCACCAGGCAGCCCTGAAATGATTTTTTGAAGTTTTGTCACCGTTTAAGCTAGACAGGGTGTCTAACAATTTGCTTTTTCAAAATTCCCCGACTTTTTCAGGTTTTCTACGATGATTTAAAGCAAATTACATGACCGTTATGTGTGCTTGGAAAACTCTATGCACTAGAAACAGACCCTCGAACAGACCCTCGAGTGGTAAAAAAAAAAATCAGCAATGTTATAAAATAAGAAAATAAATGTACCAAAAGTGCTGAGAATATTCTGAGCATGTGTGGCAAATATAAAAAAAATATGTATATCTGGCCAAAATAATACCTCTGAGCTAGAGAGTGAGCACATTGGATGTTTGGCAGAATGCAAACACACGAGTTAAAATTAACTGCAGCTAAAAGTTCAAAGGAGCCCTCGACAGTCCAACAACGAAGACGAAACTGCTAGGAAATGTAACAGTGGCACCATCTCGTGGCATCTTTGTTAAAGCAGGACGCCTGAGCCCGGCAGTTTCTGCCACTGGAGTATAATCTAGTTCAGTATAATAGTTACAGCCAAGGCCCTTTAGGATGTAGATTAGATTAGATAAAATCAACCTATATTTACTGACTCTATACTATTTATAATGTTGATTGGATCTGATACAACCTGAATTATTGTATTTACTACTGATTTGTATCCCCACCTGAATTGTTTACTTTTATTGTATACTTTTGAGTGAAAAAATAATAAATATATACTATTTGTGTATTCTGTGCACCATGTGTTGACAATGACTAACAACGTCGCAAAAACGGAGCCACACTGCGTACTTTTGCTTCCTCTTTCTTTTTTCTACGATGAGCACATGCATGTTGATGTTTTCTTTCTCTGGGCTCTGAGGCTTAGAGTTTGAAAAAGTCCTCAGATGCCTGCAATAAAAGCTAGGGGTAGCATTTAATGATGACGTTCAAATGCGTGCCAGCAAGAAGGAATCTACCTGGTCGCAACAACTTCCTCGATTCCACAAATTTATCCCAGATGCCGGCTAGTTACCTTCATTTGTGTACTCTTTTACGAACATAACGCTAAAAACTAATCAGAAGTTTAATAATACGATCTCAAGAAACTGAAACGAGAAATTTAGATGAAGTTACCCAACCCTACCCTTGAAACAAGAGCTACCAGCAATAAGTGCGTAGCTGAGGACATTTTCTCCTGCATCGCGAATAATAATAATGCTAGTAATAATAAGGCATAACATAGCGTGGCAGGCCTTTCCTAATATAAGTTCTATCCGAACCAGAAGGTCTTCAATCTGAGCCGACATCATAGTCAAGAAAAACATGCACAAATTTACCGACATCTGTGACATTGTGGTAGGAAAGTAAGATATGCTGTACGATATGTAGAAGAAACAGACGTCGATTGATTGATTTATATGTGGGGTTTAACGACCCAAAACCACCATGTGATTATGAGAGACACCGTAGCGGAGGGCTCCAAAAATTTCGACCACCTGGGGTTCTTCAACATGCACCCAAATCTTAGCACACGGGCCTACAGCATTTTCCCCTCCATGGAAAATACAGCCGCCACAGTCTTTTTCGATCCCGCGACCTGTGGGTCAGCAGCCGAGTACCTTAGCCACTAGACCACCGAACAGTTATAAAAATACTGAATTGCCAACATGGAATCTAAGGAACGCTTTATACAAACGAAGGACAAGTTGCCGAGCGAACATTTCCACGATATTTTTTACGCTTTAGGCTGCCACAATTTTGACAAGTACATCGGTGAGACCAATGATTTCAAGAAAAGAGTTAAAAACAACACGAATATGATGTCGGGAAACAACGCGTGACCTCATATGCTCTCGCTTAACACATGGAATCTACAGGCTAACAAACTGACTGGTCAGGCGCATGTTCTAACCAAAGAAAAGCTTGCATCTGCCTGTAGCTGGTATACCAGCACATACAGACAACTGTACTTACGCTGAACAGGAGTGATTGGATGCTTCGGGCAATGTAGTTCCGGTGCTTACGACACGTACTTAGGCATACTTAAATACCTTGTGCTTTTCTTATGGCTATTACTGTGAACAAGGCTCCCCTAGGGGGTACCAAAACATCAGTAAATTTGTGGGGTCTCGAATTGGCGAGCGCCGCGCCCTTGGAGTGAAAGGACACAGCAGACATGGTCAGAACAAACCAAACCATACCCACATTTATTTAACTAATTTTTGATCGAGAATATTGTCAGCCGAATTATTATAGCATCAATTGTGATCAACCCGCTAAGACATCCTTACACAACATTACTCAGCACGTATCAACATAACAAACACAAGAGCCCACAAAATGCGGCGTCGCCAAAGCTTGACTCACTGCGTGAGCCCCCGGCAGACGGCCCGTGGTGCCGTGCACCGGGGACACGCCGCGATAGCAACAGTTCACATCAAACGCCACGAGCCGAAGAGACCAGCTTATTTTTTGCGCGCCGCCACCAATGCTTGCCTACCGCCAGGGGTCACTGCCGGCACTACCGCTGTAACAACCATGATGATGTTGATAGCGGTGATCACCGCTTGCGTACTTGCCACCTGCTACCCGGTAGTTGTAACCCGAAACTCGGCTTTTGGGCGAGACAGGTGGGCCACGCAACGCAAGGAACTTTACAGGGGGTGTCAGCACCCCCACAAACTTTATATTCCTTTGGTAGGTGTATCCTTTCACGTCTACACTAAGAAGCAACAGTTATGCACTGTTTTTTTTTTTTTCATGCATCTTCTTGCTGTTCACTGTAGTTGCAGCCGAAGGAGTGGCTTTTTAAGCCTTGATCAATGGTAATGTCTATTTTTGTGACTGCCGTCAGTTTCCATGACCACGCCAGATTTTTCAGAAATTCCCTGACTTTTCCCAGCTTTTCCAGAAGGGTACAAATTCCCTAATTTTTCCAGGTTGGTAGACACCCTGCTAGAGCATCACCAAAGCATTTGCACCACAACTTCAGCCACACGTCATGTACCAAGGCCGCTACAGGCCATTATATTTATACCCTCCTTCTAACCCTTGCCTCCTCAACTCATGAGACACACTGGCATCCTTGGCAATCGCAGCACTCTTATGAGTGCACTCGACAGTTTGAACTTCATTCAGTTATGGCCTTCGAGATTGCGCGCCGACAGGTTACGTGCAATCTCAAAGACCATAGCCCAGTGCATCCAGCAGCATGCACGTTGCCTGGCAACAGAGACGAAGTTAGCATAGCAGTTGATACCAGTGCCACCACACTACCAGATGATACTATTTTATTCCTCTGTATGGTAACAACCTGCTATGGCAAGCAAACAAAGAATTCGAGAATGATCACCAATAAATGTAATCTCTGGCATTGTAGTGGTGTCTTCAGGGCTGAGGTTACAGCCGCAGACACATAAATCGTAGTGTTGACTGGATTGGGAGAGTGTGACGCTCATTGCAGCGACGAGCTGAAGCGATTTTGCTCACCAGATGCCTCACAAACATTACACAATGTTGCAACTAAGTTATGGATTGCTAGATACATGGTACACAACACAGATAGGGCAAATCATTGTGTTCAAGAAAAGAAACCTCGAGATAAATGCTGTCGCTCAGCTCAACATGGAGCACATACTAAGACAAGCAGATGAAACTTGCTGCCCACAGAAGGTTTCGTGACATAGACTGAGGTATCCAAAAAGATCGGTCAACAGGTGCTCCACTTACTAGAACATTTTCACATGAAAGAGGTGCGAGAAGTTGAAAACTCGTTCAGCTGAGCCACTGCGATCTGCAGCGATTCACATGTTTAAAGTCTTATGCTAAATTACACAGTTGACGCACACAGCTTAAATTGGCCTTCAAATGATCTTTCAGACTTGCTTTACCAGCCCACAGCATTTATATGAAATCGTCAAAACGGTTTCAGGGTTCTTTTAAGCCCTTTATCCAAATTCTTGGACACAAGCTAAGAAAGTGTTTTGTCACATAAAAAGCGTATTTTAAATCAATGACAAATGTTTCGGCAACAGAAGTCTCAAGAAAGACGCCAGTGTGCTCAGCATCAGTTGCAGTTGTTTTCAAAGGATCATGATCAGATATATCTGCCTCTTCAAAACAGCATCAAAGCTCCACCTTCTAGCTGCTCTTGCCGTTAATTGACTAACTAGGGCGTTAATGGTCGAACAATCCAAAGTTTCATCCCCTCATACTAAAGGTAACACACTTAACATGTACTTTTTTGCTTTACTAAAGAGAAAAAAAAAATGCGAAGAGCTCCAAAAAGGAAACCAAAGACTTGTAAAGTTATACATTCTCAAGTAGGTGTAACATTTCTGAAACGTACACACAAACCATTGACGAAACGAATGGACTCGGCAACTGACGCACAAGTTTAGGATATCGGACGAATAATTAGGACCACCAGGTGCCGAAATACAAAGAGACAATTTTACTAACGGACATGACTACTTTGAGGGGTGCACAGAGCGACACTACGCAAAAGGCGAACCACGCCTACTTCCATAGGCCCAGTGAACGTTGTAATCTCGCATCTGCTCACGCAGAAACGCTGTGCGAGTACCAGCTGCGCAGTTTCAAGCGACTCCGCTGGGAAGATAAGACTTACCGGCTAGTGCTGACTTGACGGTTTCAACTTCCCTGGAAAACGAAAACAATACAATCAAGACCTGCAATCAAGACAGTCCAAGACCTGCGTTCAGACACCGAGAAAACCTACGCAATCGCAAACACAAAGTGGCTACGGCTACGAGGAGCGAACTGTGCTCTTCGTACCCGCAGTCACATATAAGGAAATTTCGACGGGCAGTGCCGCTCACTGCGGTGATGACAATCGTGGCAAAATCACGCAAACACAGAAAGGATCACGAGTGGTGCAGAGCAGACACGGAGCGCGGGTTTACTGCGCTCGGTGCAGAGTGCAGCATTCGAACAGGCTAGCAACTGCGAGACAAGACATCGGCCACTCAGTCGCGCGGCTGAATCGCTGCGCAAGAGGTTAACGTAGATCGCCTACCGAAATAAATGCATTAACATTGTAACTTTCCAAAAGTGAGGCCGCGATATACGCGCGCGGCTGTGGTACACAGCTATAGCGCCTCAATGGTGAACCTCGCGACGTTCGAAATTCGACACCGGCAACCGATGTAACGACCACTTACTCCAGTATTTCCGATACTGATGCCTTCATTTCAGCGACGTTAGGAGCGAGAAACAGCACGCGGGGGCAGATTATTTCAAATACAGCTGGCAATTCCGTACAAAAGATTCAAAAGACTAATTTCCATCTTCTGAGCGTTTACAAGCACACCCGAGAGCGCTAGGCTTTTTTAGAACCGCCAAACGCTGAAAAAAGGCTTAAGCTGTCTAGATAGCGCTACATGTTTTACACCTAATTGAGCGAAAATCATTGCTATGTAATAACTTGCTTTCCAAATTTAAAAACAAAAATTTTAAAAGTTTATTAACAAACATGCACTCATTGGCAAAAATAGTTACGTGTGTGCATGACAAGTGGTGCGCTTTTTTTTTTTTTGAAGGAGTCCAGTTTGCATATTCTTTAGAACATGCGTGATCAAGCATGCAGGTGCTCCAAATGATAATTATATCACCCTTCTTACACGCTATTTTTTACAGTGCACTTTTAAAACATCAAGTATTTAGGGAGTATTTGTACCATGAAGCAATAATCGGGATCTCGCTAGCTCACGTTTTCTTCCTTGACAACCTTTGAACCCTTTACGAAAGCTTAATCTTGTTATGACCTTGTTTAACTATGGCGCATATCAGGTTGGGGGGGGGGGGGGGTATTGTGGGGATTACAAAATCGTTTGGCATAATTCTTCATCGCAGTGAGCCATAGCACCAAAAAAATGAATTGCTCAAAGTCTCTTGCAAGGGTGCAGGCTACGACACGCTTCTCCAAAGAATGGCGATCGTGAATGTCTGTCTACTATATACAAAATTATTTAGGCAGCGTCTTCTGCATCGCGCGGCGCAGCAGCCATACCCACACAGAAGTGCCTCTTGCGCCGCATAAAAGTGACGTCATTTAAAAAAAAAAGTTAACGTAAAGCTATTCAAGTGTGCAAATTATTACTTTATAATGCAATAAACTTACAAAAGTGTCATCAAACAAGTGTGTAACGTGTTTTTTATTGTGCATAAATTAATTATTAACGCATTGTATAAAAATGTTCGTTTTGTATAGTGTTTTTGTAATATTAGTATATATTGCTCAGTTTAACAACCGAATAAATTATTTGTTGCTTTATAAGTATTATTAAAAGAAAAATAAATTGATTGTTTGTTCTGTGCTCGAAGGTGCAGCGGGTTTGCCCCTGGTTTCGGTTTGGAGCGTATTTTGTTCCTACGGCAAAGTTCCTTTTGGCGTTGCATAAGTTTGTTGCCAGACTTTAAGATGAGTGTTGCCAAAATGTCGCTAAACTTGGCTAAAAAATTTTTTTAGTAGTTGTGGCTTTCTTGTAAGAGTTTGGTGCTATCCGCGATGCATTTCTTGGCTGAAAAATTTTTCTCCTGTAGTTGTGGCTTCTCCGTAAGAGTTTGGTGCTATCCGCGGTGCATTTCTTGGCTGAAAATTTTTTTCCTATAGTTGTGGCTTCTCCGTAAGAGTTTCGTGCTATCTGCGGTGCATTTCGCGAGTGCATGAGCGACGCTGGCCGTTTTAATTAACGGAATGAACCGAGCCTAGCAGAAGTCGAGCGCGGCGCTGCTGCGCAATTAAGAGGCCGTTTTAATTAACGGAATGAACCGCGCATTAAACAATTCGTTTTATTTACGGAATGAACCGCGCCTAGCAGAAGTCGAGCGTGGTGCTGCCGTGCAATTAAGAGGCCGTTTTAATTCCGTTTTAGTTAACGGAATAAACCGCGCATTACTGATTTCGTTTTATTTACGGAATGAACCGCACCTAGCAGAAGTCGAGCGTGGCACTGCTGCGCAATTAAGAGGCCGTTTTAATGAACGGAATGAACCGCCCATTACAGAAGTCGAGGCGCGTTCTCTTGCTGTGTGCGCAGCTGTGCGATTAAGATATCGCGTCTCAGTGTTAGGAATGACGGGGAAAACTGAATAAAGTCGCAGGAGGTGATGCGCTGCCCCCCTCCCCCTTACTTTTCTTTTTTTTTTCTCTCAGCTGATCGTGTCGCGTCGACCACGCGCTACGACGGGGGACGCTACGCTTCTCCTAGCTGCGTCAGCACAAGACATATCGTTCGGACTCGTGTATACATGTGATGAATAAGCGTTCCAAGGCTGGTTAATCGGGGTATGTCGGATATGCTACAGCTATGTACGCCTGGAAGGCTGCTTTATCGAAGCAGATGGAGCGAATTAAGCGTGACTTGCGCGTACCTGTAAGTGGGACCCGGCCGACGAGCCGCCGTCGCTTACAGGGCCCCACCCACAATAAGCACAAATTGTCTCTCAGCTCAAGAGCGCAGTATAAAACAATAGGGTGGGTACACAAGAATAAAATGTCAACAGCATTCGCCGAACACCGTGTGATAAATCTGCATCGCAACATCAACAGAGTGTTTCTTTGATAGACCGAGAGGAAATCGGTGGTCTGGTGTCAAATTAATGTGCATCCTTGCCTGTCGACAGAGTGTTTCTTTCGTAGACCGAGAGGAAATCGGTGGTCTGGTGTCAAATTAATGGGCATCTTTGCCTTTCGTTCGCAAAATATATGCGTCCAGTGACGCTGTTCTGGTACCACGTCTACTGCGGCGCGTTTTTCTGTCGTCAGAGCCTCAATAAATGGCGCGAACAGCATTGCTTACCCAGTGGCGGAGGAAACGATGCAGTCAGCTGCATCGTTTTCGCTTACGGGCCTCGAGTTTTGTGTGTCCTTGTACGTCTCGGCAAGAAAGTGCATCGATTGTTGAACAAGCGTATAAATGTCCGATTCTGCGAGGATAATCAAACATTCGAAATCAAAGGAGGCGGCATTCAGGAAGATCAGTCCAATATGTGCTTAGGAGAAACTTGTTAACTTGTGTCGCCGACAGCACATTATTGTTATTGATTTCAGCAGTGCTCCGAGGGACGAGGATCTTTCAGTGCACTGCTAAAATCAAGAATGCGTTCCAACTTGCGTACGCAATTTTCAGTTTTCATGCAGCACATTATTGATTGCCTTATATGAAAAAGTTTACAAAAAAGTCATTTATGTACGTGCTATGCATGCCACGTTAAGCTTCTGTGCCAACTATACCCTCGCACTGGATATTAAAATGTTTACATGCTTACACTCTGAGGAAGAGATGGTCTGCTTATTTCTTTCAAACAAATCTGGAATGTTGGTCATGTTGTCGCTTGTGCCTCTAGACCAGGTAGTCATGTCTGGACCACCAAGCAAACCAGCTTGACCTCACTCATGCCCAGGGTCACACATCTTAATTCATGCGGCTACGATGTGCTGCTGCACTTCCACTAAGTATGAGTTGAATATGTTTGCAAGTAGACTGCCACATAAAGCACTTGCAGGTGCTCTTCGGTTTTCTTTTCTTTTTTTAGCGCATTATAGTGCAGCGATTGGTTCGCAGGTAAGACTTGCAAACCTTGTACGGCTATAGACAGGGCTGACTATTGTAGCTTCGTATGCATGTAGAAACCTTTTCCAAGTAGAAAGGTTAAAGGTTATTATCATCAACATAAGAGGAAGGTATACAAGCTGCTTTCATCCAACCTTTCTTCACAAATGAGATAAAAATGACTAACCCATTACTACTTGAATTACTAGCCATACTGTACAAGTTGCCATTGATTTAATCAATGCAACACGCAACATTAAAACCACACTACACTAATTCATTAATTTCACCTGTGACGACAATGTTAGCACAGTCAGCATTAGGCTGGCAATCCTGGCACTGCACAAGAGCCTCTTTCATTGTTGCCTATAGCAGCTAGATTACAAAAGCACTACAATTTTGTCGAAAAACTCACATGATCTACGAAGTCTTCACGTCTCGCTATTGAGGTGACCAGGGCATGGTTGAAAGTGCTGCGATCATATGTCTGACTAAGGAGCTGAAGTGCTTGCTTCATGTGTGATGCCTGTATTGCGTTGATTTGCTTGCATCGGATCATTGCATTCATTGTGCACGATGACCTAAACTGATACGACACATGCACCTTAATCTCTCATAACATAGACAGATTAAGAGATGCCCTTCTTGGCTACTTATTCCATAACTGAAGCTCAACAGTGGCAGGACAAAAACATGTGGGTCTAAAGGAGCGGGCAAAATCCTCCTGATCTTATATGATGGTCTACTGACAAATTTTGTCGCCTCCTCATCTATGCCAAATTTAGTGTTAGTTATAAACGTTCGGCGATTTTAAACTTCCAGGTATCAGTTTTGTCACTTTATCTATCTCGGCTATTGATAAGGTAGCACATGCCTTACTATAAAAGCTTGTTCAGACTTTCGCTTAACTCAGTTTATTACGAAGCCTATACAAATTGTAGGTTTTGATTTTGATGAGATAAACCTTGAAACTTCTTTTTCTGAGAGCCTTTTAGCTGTATGTTCTTCCCATTTTATTGAACAAAATTAGACGCCGCTCAAAACTACCCGAACTCATGATACGACACATACCTGTTACAAAAGTATGGTGTAGTAAATGTGCATTTTTGCCTCAAAGTGCCAATAAAAAGAAGAAACGAAAATGTCTGTGTAGGTCTACACTGTACCCTATTAATCCTTGGGAATTCAGCAGCAAGTGATATGGATTACAGAAAAAATGCTCAAAGCCTCAAGCCGTCAGTTGACGTGCTGTCCACTATCATCATTATCATCATCAGCCTGACTACGTCCACTGCAGGACAAAGGCCTCTCCCATGTTCCGCCAGTTTACCCGGTCCTGTGCTTGCTGCTGCCACTTTACACCCACAAACTTCTTAATCTCATCTGCCCACCTGACCTTCTGTCTCCCCCTAACTCTCATGCTTTCTCTGGGAATCCAGTTAGTTACCCTTAACGACCAGCAATTGTCCTGTCTATGCACTACATGCCCAGCCCATGTTTATTTCCTCTTCTTGATTTCAACTATGATATGCTTAACCCCGTTTTGTTCCCTGATCCACTCTGCTCTCTTCTTGTCTCTTAAAGTTACACCTACCATTTTTCTTTCCATTGCTCGCTGCGTCATCCTCTATTCAAGCTGAACCCTCTTTGTAAGTCTTCAGGTTTCTGCTCCATAGCTAAGTACCGGCATGATACAGCTGTTATATACCTTCCTTTTGAGTGATAGTGGCAATCTACCTGTCATAATTTGAGAGTGCTTGCCAAATGTGC